AATACATACATTGTACATTATATATAGAAATTCTACACTACGAAGTCTCTTGAAAATGCCGTAGATTTCGAGAAATCAATCCCATTGTGCGAATAGTGAGCGGCCATCCTATTTGGCTGAATTCTGTGCGGCGGGAACATTCAAAATGGCAACACGGTGGATTTACGGTTTATAGTTGGCCCTCTCCAACGAAGTAAGGAATTATAATGCTGCTGTATCTGTTGAAAATTTCCATCGTTAACAGATTTTCAAATGTAATGAGGGCAAACTATATGGGATTCTCTGTAGTTTAGGTAACTTGATTGTGAAAGGCATCTGTATCTTCAAAGGAAGATGATATTTCCGATTACTGATGGTAACAAAAGTAATTGATCAAAAAAACCATTTTAGCCCTCAGCGCTGATGTATCGACTGTTTTCACCCACCTTCATTCACTTGTTATGAAACCGTTATTCGTTCGAATAAAACGAATGACCTACGTTAATTGTGTCTCCCTGAATGAACACCTTGAAGGTCATGTATCATGGGAATTGTTTTCGGTAGCTACGGGAACCGGTATTTTCATTGACTGCTCTAGATGCAAGAAACGATGTGTTCATGGATGATGATGGCGGAACTACCGGTGCATCCTTCGAGGCCAACGGTTCAACAATAGTGTCTGTGGTTATGCCGGAGCTGTTCACCGATTTCCTATCTTTGGCCGTTCACTCTTTCACGTGAAGTATTGTTTATGCATAAATAAGGGTTAACCAATCATGTGAACGCGCAAAATAATGTAAGCAATTGTTGGGGTATTTAGTTAATAATGTCTGCTAAGCATGTTTATTTGTGTCACAGTTGTAGGTGTTGAACCCTGTAAATCAGTTGTGGCTGGAGAGAGTTCTGTCCGGTTGTCGCTTGCGAGTACACATATTATGTAAGTAACGACCGACGAGATATCAAGTGTATGATGCCCCCCTGTCCTAGAATCTTTGGCTTGAACAACATAGTTTTGATGAGTGCGCAACAAATAACACTTAACTGAAGCATCCATAAAGCGTAATAAATGCCTCAGCCGAACTCAGGCTGCCGGGCTACTGTATATAATGCTAAAAATGTGCTGTTAGAGGCAATCCTATATTTTCCTAGAGGCATCAGGTTTCGGGGTCACTCTGAGGTCATAGACGAGACGGGACAGTTACGCCCCTCTTTTCTCAACTACATAAGCTTGTATTCAACGCAAGTTCTGGATGCCTTGGTTTCTGTGACGCTTGCGATGTCGGGAAATATGAATCCACTTTTAGGAAAACATAGTTTTGTCATGATTGATTGCAAGCAAATCACAGAATCACCATAAATGTGTTCCATAGTTGTAGCTGGATAGTAAATGGGGAAAGAATTAGTAAAAGGCAACGTAATGGAAACGCCCAGAGACCCCTTCACCCAGCTTGCGTGAAAAACGCATACCGGTTGCAAACTCCGTACCACGTTGAGGATAGGATGGATTTTACGGTAGAAAAAACCTGCTCGTCATCCACACCTCCAACGAGAATGACATTTAACAAATATGAACTTGATCAATAAAACATCTACATTCGTCTTCCTAAGTACATTTACGGGCGGAACGCTTACCAGTATTCTGTCCCTGGCTTCCAAATGCTCATTTCTGTTGATAATAGCCTGAACACAGGTGAGCAACCAGGAATACTCAGGAAGCTCCCGCTTATTCTACCTGTGTGCAGATTCGACCCGGTTAGTGGCTTCGTTACTAGGGGTCACAGGATGCTTTCGAGCATGCCTTGCTCAGATACCCAGGTCGCCTAACCAGTGCTTGCTGAGATAAGACCAGTATTCGTGGTTCCGGCCTCTGATGCTGGTGGCGTGGACCTCGAACTCGCTCACTTTCCTGCAGAGCACCGTTCGCTTTGACCAGGCAGATGAAACTCCCTTATCCGAATGAGTCATCCCTAATCTTATAAATCCTAGCCTTGAAGCTTTGTAATACATGGAAAGAACAAATAATTTCAGTTTTATCACTTAAAACCAATAAGTAAAGGTGAACGACACGCGTGAACGGTCGGCAGTCGAAATAAGCATACCTGGATATAAGTTAATTGAATGATTATGCGTGAAAATATAAACATACCGACGACTGTTTTTATTAACGTTTCACTGAGAACGCGCATGTTCGCATTTGTACGCCATCAATGCATATAGATAGCTGGTGCAAGTACTTTACCAACATTCTGTTCATATTATGCTACCGAAAAACTATGTAGTCGGACACAACACATGCCCGTTCCCCGCTGAAATTCTCGCAGCTTGGGCTCGAATTCTGCAAAGGAACCAAACTTACGCGCGAGAAAGTACTCGACCATCTGTCTAAGTAGGTCGCTTTCATCCGAGGATACATCCTGCGAACCTACAAGACTTTATACTACAAAACCATCTTACTGGAAGAAGATCCAATTGTTGAGGTACTCGGCTTGGGCATAATTGGCGGTGGCGTCATTGAAACCGTGCTGGTGGCGTTTTGCATGTCTTGAACACCCGGACCGCAAGCGAAACAAGTGAGGAATGACTTGTAGCTCCACAACATTTTATACACCATCCTGACATTGGGCCACTATGGCCTTGATACACCAGCAGCCCGGTATAGAACGCAATATTATGACTTCGCTTCGATAACTGTCTCTATGAAAACGATGGGAGATTCTGTGGAAGCGCTTCTTACGTATTAGATTTGGAAATAATCTCACAACCACCTGAAAAATGACGGTATATGGGGAGCTCAGAAAGCTGCCGCACACAAAGTCGGTTCCATCAAGAGCGCCCTCTCTCCGTTCCCACTTAGTTTTGTGCTCGACGGGATAATGAGACCAACTCGAAAACGCCTTCTTCATCCAGTTTTCAAATATCTTGTGGCAAAAATATTGTTGATATGGATATCGTTCTCACTTCTGAAGGGAAGGAAAGGACGCAGGTGCTCTTTGCTGAGCTGATCAAAGTCAGTCTGTCCATTATTCTGCACTCTGTACCCACAAGGTGTCATGTGATCACAACGATGTTCATTCCCAACAAGTGGGTGGCTTGCCGTCAGGCGTAATCATGTGGTTGGTAGAATAAAGCGTAAGTTTTTTGTGGTTGAAGGTAGTGGAATAAGTGGGCGACAGAGTGAGAGAAGGAAAGGCATAATGACGTGTGTGCTATGAAACTGGGCATAGCACCGCCATGCCATCATTGCACTGAAATACTTCGGTTTCCGGGCAGCCCTGTAATGGACGTCAGTTTTGAGATGGATTGGCTTGAGTGTGCAATTCTGTGAGGAGAGGGGTGTCTTTGGTTGACCAAGGAAATCTTCAGAGGTAGATCAAAGCTTATCTAGGATCGCAGGTATTTTTCTGATCCGGTTTGAGAGGTAGTTTAATGCAGCGTTTTGTACACATTCGAAGTTGCAATAGTTTTGATTGTAGTGTGACAGATGAAGTCAATGCACGAGCTTGCAATGCTCGGGTCCCGTTTGCTAATTTGGAACACCTATGACGTCAAGGCCGTATATCCGTGAATACCGAGCGACGTGTGCATCAGGCTGCCGTACGGGCTTTTCTGTTGCATGGCTGTGAGACCCGTTCTGTTTGAGAAGCGTAACCGAGGCGTTTTCAGGCGTTTGACGACGGTCG